GGACGGACCTGAACTGCCACATCCCATCAACTCGGATGCAGTCAAGAAATACTTCGCTTAGGATGAAAACCCAAAAGGGAGTCTTAAGTCGAAAAAAGAAAAAAAAAGTCGTTTAGGGTGAAAACCCGAAAGGGAGCCCTAAATTGAAAAAAGAGAAAAAGAACAGAAGAAAAAAGAAAAAGAAAAAGAAAAATAAGGTGGGTTCGAGATGAAAACCCGCAAAGGGCGTCTTGCGACCAATGATGGGTCCAAATTGAAAACCCGAAAGGGTAATTTTGGATGTCAGTTCAAGAAATCCAGACAGTGCAAGTATCCCGGCGACTGAATCTCCTGCGAACTAAACAAGTCGGAGAACGGTTGCACTCTCCAGAACGTTGTCGCATTTTCAAAGATCCCTTGGCAAAGGCTGTGTTCAAAAGTCACCTGACTGCTTTTCAGCTCAGAAGTGCCCATATTATCGAGATCTCATACTTCTTCATGTATTCATTTTCCAAAATGTTGGTTATGTATTATTTGTTCTTTTTATCTCTTATGAATAAAGACAATCTTTTTTCTCTAAATCAATTCCTTTCGAGCATCTTGAATTGAACTTACACTCAATGATTTATCTACTTATGCAAAAGATAATCGCATATTACTGTACAAAGATTCATTGAAAAGTACAGGTACCCAGAAGCCGATCAAGGCTCATGCTTATACTTGAGATGGTCAAGAAGTATTTCCCGGATCAAGGGTCAAAAAAACAAAATATGCACATCATATTTCAACATTTGAAGAATTCAAGACAAGGGATCGAAATTTCAGGATTCCCGAATCAAGATTCCAGACAGGTAATCTGAGATCGAGATTTCTCTCCAGAGCCCCAAGATAACATATGTTGTTGCATATGCATTTTAGGCACACCTAAGAGCATTGCATTCATAGCATCACATATATGCATAACTTTTTCAGGTTTTAGCTAGAGTCAATTTCAACTTCGCAGCTGAGGATTTTGAACTCAAAGCGACACAATTTGCTTGAGAGTAGATTTCAACTTCACGATAGATGATATCTAACTCGAAGCCAAACTTCATAATAAAGGGGGTCATCCATGGTTTAAACTTCACGGCGAAGGGAATCGTGTCCACCCGCAAAATAAAATACTTGGATTTCAACTTCACAACGAAGGATATTCAAGTCAAGGCTCAACTTCACGATGAAGGGGCCACCCACGATTTCAACTCCACGACAGAGGATATCGTGCCATTTGAGGCTCAACTTCACAATGAAGGGGCTTCCCAATTTCAGAGCTAATTTCAACTTCGCAACGAAGGATATTGGACTCAAGACAGCACAAGCTCAACTTCACAGCGAAGGGGCGACTGATTGTCAAATTCATTCAGAGTCAATTTCAATTTCACGACGAAGGATATTAGACTCAAGACAGCACAAGCTCAACTTCACAGCAAAGGGGCGGCTGACTGTCAACAAACAATTTCCCAATTTCAGAGCCAATTTCAACTTCACAATGAAGGATATTGGACTCAAGACAACACAAGCTCTACTTCACAACGAAGGGGTGGCTGACTGTCAACAAATAATTTTCCAGTTCCAGAGCCAATTTCAACTTCACGGAGGAGGATATTGGACTCGGAGCAATACAACTTGCTTGGATTTCAACTTCACGATGAAGGATATCCAATTACCAGGCTCAACTTCACGACGGAGGGGCCACCCACGGTTTCAACTTCACGACGGAGGGGCCACGCGCGGTTTCAACTTCAAGACGAATGGAATCGTGCATACAAGCAGCATCCATCCATCTCTAGACTGGATTTCAGCTTCACGACGAAGGATATCCAACTCAAAGAAGGAGTGTCTGTCAACAACCTTCCCAGTTTCAGAGTCAATTTCAACTTCACAGCGAAGGATATCGGTCTCGAAACAACGCAACTTACATTGAATTTCAACTTCACGACGAAGGGTATCTAATTCCAAGGCTCAACTTCACGACGAATGAGCCGTATACAATTCCAACTCCACAAACAGATTGACCCAACTTCACGACGAAGGAGTCATCTGTAACACGGCCATACCAAAGCCTCTGGGTCAAGCTTCACCTTCACGAAGAAGTATCTTGAGCCCAGAAGACGATCCAGGAGCTACTGGTCAAAGCTTTGAGTTCGATTTCAACTCCATGACGAAGGATTTCATGCTCAGAATTTTCCAGTTTCGACTCAACCTCACGACGAGGGAGTTATTTTATGATTTAAATTGACAAACCAATATTAATGTCGGATCTCAACTCTACGACGAAAGATATTCGATATTGTTAAAGTTTGTGTCTTTTAATCTTTGCTCCATTTTTGTTACACGATAATGAGCAAAGAGGGGCAGCTGAAGACACCAAATTTTATCATTTAGTATATTTACATTACAGATTATTTATTTTATTACGCATATATTATACACATATTTACATATATATATATATATATATATATATATATATATATATATTTTTTATTTGACATTGTGTTAGGCCCGGAACTAGATCCCACATGGCCCAACAGACCAAGCCAACCCACGAACCAATAAGAAACCCTAAGGAAAATTAGGGTTGTTATTGTTCCAGTAGGCACTCACCAGCCTCCTCTCGTATGTCTCTCTTCACTCAACAAACTCGGTTCCCTCGGTGCATCAACCACCAAATCCCGTAAATTCCGGCGCAAGGAATGCCCATACAAAATAACAGAAGATACCAAGGAGCATTATAATTTAAAATCGAATAGGACTCTGCTAAAGATAGTATTTCATAGACTATAAATAAGTGTAATCCATTTGGTTGTAAGACGATGGTTAATACGAAATACAAGCAAATATTTTTGAGCAAATTATAGCAGAAGTAACAGAACGTTCGAGGTATTTTTTTAGCAATATTTCGAGAGGAAACAAGGTTAAAGGACTCACCCCTTTTTATGTTCTTGGATTGCATGTAGTTGATGTTCGCCCCTCTTCGTTTCTGATTCAAAAAACACCAAGACCACGATTTTCAGCCGATGAACTAGGGCGTTTTCAAGATCTACTTCCGTAGATCTAGCCCCCGAGGCTTGCGTTTTTTTTGAAAAAATAACCGGATTTTTAAAACAAGGGTACGAAAAGCTTTTGAAAAACAAAAAAAAATAATTTTTGTCGCCGATGAACGACGGCCGGCGAGGCGGTGCCAGAATCTGGAAAAACCGACTGTGTTCTTGAGTCTCAAGAACACTTGAGAGAGAAATCTGGAAAAGGGGAGGCTATCATGCGAAGGGAAGAGAAAATGAAGGCTTTTAAAAAAAATTTAACCTTTATACTAAAATCATATAACCCGTGTGCAACCCGACCCGGCCAAGGCAGGTCCGGCTGTTTTGTTCCAAGAGGGGTGAATTGCACTTTCGGCCCTTATGTTTTTAAACTTTCCATTTTCGTCCCCAAATTGAATTTAAACCCCTGTTCTTTTTTTTAATTTGGCCATCCAAGTTCGTTTTATTTCATTTTAACCCTTTATATTTATATATATATTATTATATATTTTTCCTTTTTTAGTGTTTTTACGCTATACTATCTTATTATTATTTTTATATATTATCTATTTTTATTTTATTATATTATATTATATATATTTTTCTTATGTACATTTTTTTATATGGATATATATTTTTATTTATTATTTTCATCATTATTATTTTATTATTATTATGTTTACCATTATAACTGTTATTTTCATTATATATATATATATTACTCATTTTTTTCATTCTTATTGTTTTTATATTTTATTTTATTATACATATTTTTATCCTTTTTTTTTCTTTTTCTTTACTTGTCTTTTCGTTTTTTCCCTTACATATTTTATGTATATTTATTCATATTTCATTCCTTCTTTTTTGCGTACATTGTTATTTTCTTTATTTCGTTTGTTCGCCTTATTTTTTATATTTTTATTACCTAACCCTTTCCTTGGCTTTATAAAGATGTTTTCAAAACTATCTGAGGTAAGTAATTGGGATCGTTATTTTAACTTTTAATTTAAACTTTCAACTCTCTTAAATTAAGACAACTGGAAATTACGTAGTACCGAAAGGGCAGTTCAAGGGTGCTAACCCTTCATTGGATGTAACCGACTCCCGAATTCGACACGTTTCTAGTACAACACAGATCAGGTAAGATGGTGTCCGACCCACCTAAATTCGTTTTAAAGTGGTCGGTGGCGACTCCCAATCCAATTTTCAAGTCGAAGCCCAATTTCGGGCCCAACCGAAAGGCGGTTACGACAATTAGTATTGGGCGCTTTACCGGTTTTGTTAATATATACGGTAAAGCGCTACCTAAAACATTATTTTTTTCTACAAGTTTTATTATTATTGGACACTTTACCAGAAATGTTAAAAAACATTAATGTTTTAGGTAGAAATAATAATATTTTAAACTAGATGAGTAAATAAAATTTGGAAATTAAAAAAATGGCGTACGTTTGCGATTCTCTCTACTCGCACGTTAGCGGGTATAATGGAGCCTGAGATTCTTCCCGTCGTCAGTGTTCTCGCCTTTGCCCAACGATTCAATTCCTCAAGTTATTTATTTCTTTTCTTTCGCCCAGATTATCGTTTTTTGAGATGGAGTGGAGGAAATTGTTCAGATGCCAAGAGAATAAAAAATTGTCCTATTTTCCCCCAAAATTGACTGAAAGCATTCCGATTGTCTGCCCACCACCTGATGTCTTTGAAGCCGGAACAACAGCCTAGAAATCTTCTTTGGTGGGACAATTCCTTGGGGCGCCACCAAATTTCATAGCTTTGCAGAGAATCATCGAAACCCTTTGGAACCACCCAACGAAAGGAGCATGAGTTCAGGTCAGTCATGCTAGAAATAACCTATACATTTTTTCCTTCAATACTGACTCTGCTAGAGATTGGGTCCTCGAAAATAGACCCTGACACATTTTTAACAAGCCTTTAATCTTAAGAATTTGGGAGCCTAATATGCATAGGCTTGACTTTGATTTAGCTCGACTGGCTTTATGGATTCATCTTTACAACGTTCCACTTGAATTGTATTTTCAAGATGGTCTTAGCTATATTGCTAGTGCTTTAGGAAATCCAATCTCTATGGACTCTACCACAACTTCTAAATCTAGACTGCATTTTGCTAAAGTTTGTGTTGAAATTGATGCTAAACTGGAAATTCCTGAATCTGTTGAAGTCATACTTGCAAATGGTCAAAACACACATATTCAAGTTGAAGTTCCTTGGCTCCCATCTAGATGTAAAATGTGTGTGAAATTTGGACACTCTGATAAAAACTGCCCAAATCAACATTCTTCAGCTCCTAAGAAAATTTGGAGGAAAAAGACTGATGTTAACTCTATTAATGATTCAAAGCCTACTGAATCATCTGTAGACTTACAGAACCATCAATCAGGCTCTCCTCATGTTACAGATCTCTCTGAAACTACTGATCCTCTCCCAGGAACAGTTCCAGTTTGTCCTACTCAAATAGAACAATCCTCCAAGGATGAACAACCAAACTTCACTGTCTTGACTCCTGCTTATAGTAACTCTCCCGCTTTCTAAACTAGTGATCATGCTAAACTAGAGACTATCTCAAAGCCTCCATCCTCTCCAATCAAAGCTCATGAGTCTCCTTCATTGCCTAAAAGAGGTAGAGGCATACCCCTAAAGGCTAAATCTAATGTTTCTCTTAAAGGATCTGCTAATAGATTTGAAATACTGAATTCCATTGATGAGAGTTCTCCTATTGTTGAAGTCCCTACTAAGAAATCTAGACTTGCTACCTCTGGAGTTTCTATTCTCCTTAAAGACTTAAAGGCTAAAAAGAAAAAGCATCTTGCTATTTCTAGGTCTTCTGTAGAAAAAGGAGGAACTTCAAAAACCCATTCTCAATGATAATTTGCTTTTGGAACACGAGAGGATTAAATAATCCTCAAAAGTAAATAAAAGTTATTCAAAGAGCCAATCCTTACAAAGTTGATATTCTTTGTTTGATGGAGACCCGTATTAAAGCTGAGAATTCTGATAAAATTCTGCATTCAAAGTTTGAAAGCTGGAATGTGTTAACAAATTATGATTTTGCCTCTAATGGAAGACTCTGGTTGCTTTGGAGAAAAGGAATCGATATTTCTCTCTTCAATTCTTCTGACCAAAGTATCACTGTCAAGTTTCAATACAACAGTATTCCTTTTATTATCACTGCCATTTATGGCAGTAACAATGGCACTAACAGAAGACAATTATGACAGTATCTTAGGAATCTTGACCAACACTTCAACTCTATCCCTTGGATTCTTGGAGGGGATTTTAACTCATACCTCCACTACTCTGAAAGCTCAGATTCAGATCTTATTGTCCCTTACCTTTCATCTCAAATGAAGAATTTCCAAGAACGGAATCAAGACCTCCTTCTACAAGATCACCCATTTTTTGGACCCATTTTCACATGGAGTAACAAGCAAAAAGATGCTTTCTTAGCTAGGAAACTTGATAGAGTTTTAATTAACTCCTTTTGGGCCAATGCCTTTCAAGGATCATTTGTTGAATTCAGTGCCCCTGGTATCTCAGATCATTGCATGGCAGTGGTCTGGCTTAACAAAGAGACCCAGATAAACAGACTCAAACCTTTCAAGTTCTTCAATTTATGGTCTTCTCACCCTTCCTTTATTGATATAGTTACCCTTTCTTGGCAGTAACCAGTTCAAGGCAACCTAATACAGGCTTTGTTCCTCAAGTTAAAACGGTTAAAGCCTTGTTTATAATCCCTTAACAGGAATTCTTACAGTAACATTTCTGCTAGAGTTAATCTCAAGAGAGCTGAGCTGGAACATTTACAGATCCAATCTCTCAAATGATCCTGCTCAATTGCTGATGAACTCAATGTTCAAAATGAGCTTGCTAATCTCGAAGAGGCTGAAAATCAATTCCTTAGGCAGAAAGCTAAAATTAGATGGCTCAAAGAGGGGGACAAATGCAGCAAGTTCTTCTACTCTGTCATTGCTACAAAAAACAAACGAGATACCATTCGGGTACTCATTAATTCCCAAGGCAAAATACTGTAATCTTATGATGATATGGCATCAGAAGTACTTGAGTACTTTAAATTACAACTTGGAACAACTGATCCGAATGTTCAATAGACTGATGTTCAATCTTTAAAAAATCTGCTTCAATTTGAATTGTCTGCTGTTTTTTCTTCTGATCTTGTCAAACCAGTCTCTAATGAGGAAATCAAAGATGCTCTCTTTAATCAAGGTAATGATAAGGCCCCGGTCCAGATAGAATTACCCCATTTTCTTCAAAAAAAACTTGGTCTGTGATAGGCGAAGATGTTATCAAAGCTATCAGATTTTTCTTTCAAGAAGCCATCATCTTGCATGCCTTCAATGCCACTATAATAGCTTTGATTCCTAAAGTTCAGAACCCAAGTACTGTCAAGGATTATAGGCCAATTTCATGCTGCTCAGTGCTTTATAAGATTATCACCAAAATCCTTGTTAAAAGGTTGACCATGCTGCTTCCAGAAATCATTACTCCCAACCAGTTTGCATTTGTTAAAGGAAGATCTATCATTGATAATACACTTCTTGCTCAAGACTTAGTTCGAGGTTATAGCAGGAAGCATATTTCCCCAAGGTGTGCTCTCAAAATAGACCTTCAGAAAGCTTTTGATTGCCTTAATTGGGAATTCATCTCTACTTTACTTTACTTTATTGGGCTACCAAGTATCTTCATAAGGTGGATACAAGCATGTTTTTCTGAAGCTAGATACTCAATTTCCCTCAATGACAGTCTGGTTGGTTATTTCAAAGGCCAGAGAGGAATTAGGCAAGGTGATCCTTTGTCCCCTATCATCTTTGTGTTGGCAATGAACATCATTTCTAAAACTCTTAATCTTGCTGCCACCAAAGGGATCTTCGGCTACCATCCTAAATGTAAAAAGTTAGGCCTTACTCACATCTCTTTTGCAAATGATCTTTTAATTTTTTGCAAAGGAAATCCTGATTCAATTGCTGGGATTATCTCTGTTTTAAATCACTTCTACCACATGTCTGGTCTTAAGCTCAATGTAAGCAAAACTGAACTCTTTGCTTCTAGAATCTCATCTCGGAATCTTCAAATTATCAAATGTATTTCTGGGTTCAAATAAGGTCTTCTCCCTGTTAGATATTTGGGAATTCCTTTAGTCACTAAAAAACTAACTGAACAGGACTGCCAGCCTCTAATCGACAGAATCAAGCTTAGACTTCACCATTGGTCAAGCAAACTCCTAAGTTATGCTGGAAGACTTGAATTAGTTAAAACGGTCCTGTATAGTATGGCCAATTACTGGTGTAGGCAGTTCAATCTCCCTCAGTCTATTATTAATCGTATTAACCAGCTCTGTTCTAGGTTCCTTTGGAAAGGAACGAACCAGTCTGCTTCCGGAGCCAGAGCCAGTTGGACTCGTATTTGTTGGCCCAAATCTGAAGGTGGATTAGGCTTGAAAAACATCAAAACTTGGAACACTGCCTGTATGGTCCAGCTAATTCGAAATGTTCTGGCAGGGCAAGGGTCACTCTGGGTCGCCTGGTTATACTGCTATGTTATAAAAAAATGAGGACTTCAAAAATATGGCTGTTAAACCTTCTTACAGATGGAGCATCAAGAGATTAATGAAGCTTCGATCCACTGCTCTTCCAATTATAAACGCGGGAACTACAACAACCAGAGATGTTTGGGAAGCTGTTAGATAAAAAAGAAGCAAGGTTCAATGGCATAAAATCTTATGGTTTCCCTCCCACATACCGAAATTCAGTATGATCACTTGGATGGCCATCTTGGACAGACTTCCAACTAGATGAAGACTATCTCGGATGGGCATCGTCAATGACTGCAGTTGTGTGTTTTGCAATGACTCTAATGAAACAAGAGACCATTTATTATCTGATTGCAGCTTTGCTAAATCCCTATGGAGCTCCATTCTTACCCTTTCTCATCTGCGAGTTTCTCACAGGACATGGGATGAAACTATTTGCTGGGCTTGTGACGAATGAAAAGGTAAATACCTCATTACTACAATCATGAAGCTTGCTTGGAATTCATTCATCTACATGATATGGGAAGAGAGAAATAGAAGAATTTTTCATCGAGGATCCAGAGAAGTCGACCAACTTCTATCTTCCATTAAAGAGATAGTCCGAACCCAAATTAGAGACAAACATATCAATAGATTAGATAATGTTAATTGTAACCTTTGCAACTCCTGGGTATAGATTAATCATTTTTGTTGTAAGTATTTGATTGTAAACCCTTTTTTTGGGACGTTCTTGTAGCTTCAATGCTATTTTGGATAATAAAAGCTAACTTATCCAAAAAATAATAATAATAATAATAATATTTTAGGTAATATTTTACCGAAAATGTTTAAAAAAATAATAACAAAACTGATAGTGCCTTTCTTTAACCGTATATTAAGGTTGCCGCACTGTAGAACTTTAAAGAGTTAAATATGTAAGATATATTAATTTTTTTAATTACAATCTAGGTGAAATACGATATATTAAATTTTAAAATTATAGTTTAAACAGAGCTCGCTTGAAATGTGAATTTATTGGTAAGAGTAATGAAAATAGACAATAGTGAACCTTTTATAAAAATCTAATTTTGCTGTATACCTTAAATAAAAAAGGTGACTTCTTTAAGAAAAGTATCACGTATCATTTATTTATTGATATAAATATTTTTATACCTTCTAAAAATATATTATTTTTATGTGATTTTTATGAAATTAAAAATTAATAAAATATTGAAGATCAATTTTATTATTATGTTTCAAATAAGGTAAAAAAAAACCCATATATCAATTTCTGAATGACTCGTTACTATTACTTCATCTACAGTTAACAAAAACGATTGACAAAACAATACTTCATACGCAAAATTAGAGAAAAAACAATTTATGTTATATTAAAAAATTCAGTGCAATACATATATCAAACATATAAACTAAAAAATAGAGGGGTTTTTTTTTGTATTCAAACTGAAAATAATGCATGTCATATAATTAACTCAAAAATAGATTGGAACATATGCAATCCAAATGGACAGTTCCAAGCCATACGTGCCAGGCATCTGCCACTCCGTTGTTTTGTCTAGGAGCAAAATTAAAGAGCACGTTCCATTTCGCTTCAATCTCTTATTTTTGTTGTTGTACCTAAATACTCTATGTTCCGATTTATACTTTACTTCATTTGCATGGAAACCAAAAATCAATTTATTTAAATTCAAATTAAAATTTAACTGAAAATAATAAAAAAATCAATTTGCATTGTTATTTTCACCTTTTACATAGTGTTCCAAAGCTTATCAATCAGAATGAAATTTGAAAAAGAAAAATTATAATAAGCACAATATCAACATCAACAAGAAATCAAAGAGAATGACAGTTCAAAATTTTATAAGCAAAAACATGCTCCAGATTAAATCTCATAAACTGGATGGGGAAATAACGTCATCAATTTTCAAAATCATCTTAACTACCTGTGTTGCCAGTAAGATCTGCTGCTGCTTCCCAATCAGAGTCTCAAACACGTTTTGCTCACGCATATCATTAGTTCCCACATCATTGCAATCTATCCCAAAGTGAGGGTTGTTCTCCTGCAAATCGCATGTTGCTGATGAGATTATACAAATTGGCGACCATCATCATGCTAATTACTACCAACTTACCTTAATTTGCTGAGATTTCACCACAGATAGCGTCTCAATAGGTTGAAGGCCGCTATTCTCGGCCAGGGCCATGGGGACAGAATCTAAAGCATCGGCAAATGCACGGATTGCATACTGCAAATAAAAGGAAATAAAGATTATATAATTAGACCAACAAAAAAGGAATAGTAAAAAATTTAGATGAT